CGAGCGCCCGAGCCGGCACCAGGCCCGCCCGAGCGCCCGAGCCGGCACCAGGCCCGCCCGAGCGCCCGAGCCGGCACCAGGCCCGCCCGAGCGCCAGTCTGTGTTTAGATTGTTTGGAGTAAATACCTCTCTGTTACCTGCTGGGGGCATCAGTCCCTTTCCTCTGACAGATTGCTAAAAGTCCTCCTCTCCTTTGATAGGCAGCATGTTCCTTTGGGCATCTGCAAGCCTTGACGGAACCCGGTTCATAACCAGCAGACCCTTCCTTAAGTGCAGTATAGAGAGTGCCTACATCTGCAGTGTCGTCCTTATTTCTTTAGTATTTGTACTTGTCTACATTATTATTTTTTTTTAATTATGTAATTTATGTATTTATTTTTTGCACATCTTTCCTGTCTCTGTGGGCCTTCATCTCCGTTTCCAGGCAGAGAAGTTTGACGGCACTGGGCAACCTATTCTGGCCATTAAGGGAGCGCGTCTGTCTGACTTTGGGGGGCGCTCTCTCTCCGCGCTCTTCAGTAGCACAGTCATGGTCAACCCCGACATCCCAGAAGCCTACAAGCTCAGAGGATGGTGAGTGCCTCTCTTGCTGTTGGTCCAATTTATTACAGAATTAGAAAAACTGTTGCCAGCCATCTCTTTTTTTTCTGCCCCATGTCTAAAATTATTGTATTTCTCTCATTTTCCTTTAAAAAAACAAAAAAACAATTGTTTTGTTACTGAGGCAGCAGTTTCCTTTGGTAACTTGCAGTTTTACTTGTTTAACTGAGTCTTTCTGGTATGATTTAGGTGTCTCCCTTAGAGTAAATCAGTGCTGTGTGTGTGTGTGTGTGTGTGTGGACCAACAGCACGTTGCAGAGGCCTTTCAGCGGTGTCGTGGAGGCGGGGGTCCGCCAGTGCCCTGTCACGGCCGCAGTGGCTCATTGTTTTGGCCTTTGCAGTTTCCCTCGGTTGAGCCCGAGGGTGTCCGCGTGCCGTGCGACCCGCTTATTCCCGTGAAGAGCCCTGCGTGCGACTGAAGGCACTGGTGACTCACGCTTTTCATCCCGTGTCTTCACTTGCTCCCTTTCTCAGCCCGTTACTCATTACCCAAGTGCTGTAATTCACAGTATTTAGTAACACGGTCTAAAAATAAACCCTGAGCTCCCCCCATGGTTAGATGAGGGATTTAGTCAGATATTTATTGTTCATGGCTCACCTAAGACATCCAGGGCCCTCTGAGTTTGCTCTATGCATGGGGGCTTCCCGTGTCCCGGGGTCTTGTGGGCTGTGCTCGCTGTCAGACCTGTCTGGGTGCTGGTTTGTGTCTTGTGGCCTGTTTTATCTGCTGCATTGCCACTTTTCAGCTGATGTAGTTCAGGGTTGGTGTAAAAATGCAGATTGTCGTGTTAGCAGAAGATCTGTGATATTTGTCCCCATAACAACCCAAGCTCAACACAGAGAAGTCTACTTCATGGTGCCATGTAATAAACAAGTTTGTCCTGCCTTTGCCCAGGGTCTCCTGGGTCTTTCTCCTCACCCCAACCATAACGTGGCCGGCCCAAGGCTGCCAGGGAGGTGGGCAGCTTTACCATAACCTCCTGAGTCCCCCCTTTTCCCTTTTTCCCTTTCTCCTATTTTGGGCTCCTGCTCTGATAGCAGAGCAGTCCCATAGGTATGTTGAGAATATCGGAAATGTGATTTGGCACCCAGGGAAGTGTCTGAGGTATTCGCGTGTTGCCCCGCAGAAGGGTCTTCGCTTTAAAGGTGCCGGCGATCGCATGAATCACTCCTCATAGCAAGACCCCGCCTGCTGCCTCCTAAAAATAGCCTAGAGAGGGGTGCATCTTGCCTAGACTAATGGCTTTGCTGCCGCGCTCTGCCGCCTGATTGATGTCTACCTGTAAAGATGCTATTCCAGCAGGAGCGGGAAAACATTGCAGTGTTAGTTTGCCGTTACAGACGTGATTGCCGTGGCTGAATTTAAATCTCTACCTGAGTCTTCTCTCTGCTTGTCAGGTTGCATGTAGTTCTGTTGCAGACTGGTTCCCCAGGGGGACCCTTAAAATCTCAAGATGTGAGGCCCCTGTTTGTGTGTTCGCTTTTCACACATGGGTACATATTTCTCACTCTTGTGCTGTGGGTTTTACGGGGAGGATGTCCAGCTGCCAGGAGGGAAGGGTTTTGGGAGCTGACCCTCTGCTCAGTGCTCTAAGACCTGGTGGAGCTGAGTTTTATTGGGATATGAACAGGAGTTTGAATAAAGGCCCCTCCTGCCCCCTGATTCAGCCCCTGGGTGGGTTATTGCACTGGGGGCGCCGCGCGTGCTGGCCAGCGCCTTCCCAGGCTCCTCAGAGTGCTGATGAGTTACAGCTGAAGGTGCATCTTTACATCCGGGCCACTTTCATCCCAAGCTGCTCTCATAGGCCTCAGTTCAGTCTGCCTCCCTTTTAATGAGCTGTGCCTTTACTGGACCATCTATGGTTCAGAGTGCCTGCTCTTTGTGGATTAGAGCTCAGACCGTCTTGTGTGTGCATTGTCTTCACCGCTGAGCTGTCTGTGACCTGAGATAAAGGTTAGAGAATAGTCTGCTGGGGTTGGATCATTTAGGCCTGCTTAGCATGAGAATAAACTGTCTGAGGATGGCTCTTGGATGCAAGGTCGGGGGGGAGACTGGACCAGATGTAACTGTCTTTTATCATGGTGGGCGCCTGATGCATGGCTTTCCGGCTGCTGTCCATCAGGAATCAGGCTCAGGGAGGATTGCGCACAAAGCCATGTTTGTTTTGTATTCAGTTGGATGGGCCCTTTATGGCTCTCTTAATCTCTGCCTGATTAGTCGAGAGGCAGTGAAGCTTCCTCACCAAGATAAACTTGGTTTTGTGTATAACTTTAAGAGTAGCCACTCTGCGTTTCTGCTTCTGTTTATTGAATTAAATATCCGTCACCGGGTGCCTTTTATTGTTTTATTAGCCAGAGGAAGGAACGGCCATGCTTGTTTTAACCAGAGCTGGTCTCTGACACCGTTGTGACTCATACACCGTGTTGCAGCCGTTAATTTATGTGGGCAGTAAATTTTGCTGCATTTAAGAAGATGCCCTTGCGTTGCCAAAACTTTCGGCTGCAAGTTGGCCTTTTTACAGTCGCACACTGTGAATATCATAACATTGCTTCATTTAGCCTTCTGGAATATTCATTGAAAACTACTCTTGGCTTTATTTTTTTAATCGCTTCCACTGAGGAGTTTTTTTGTTCAGTTTACAATGCACACACTCCAGCTGACTGGATGGTAGACAGATCCATCAGTAGAACCTTGTTATCTTCATCCAGTCGGCCGCCCCCTCCTGCCTAAGGTCCTCCCTCCAGATGTCGCATGCTCAGTCATGCATCACCACTGGCTGGTTTTCTTGGCCATCTCTCTTTCCCATGAGACTCTCTGCCAGGTTTTATGCTTAAGGCGGGAGGTATCATGGCGAGTGCTGGCTGATAACCGGCATGGCCGGCCGCTCTTCCTTTAGGGTACTTAACCTGTGTACTTTTGGGTAATGTTTACAGTTTGAAGCTGCATTAGGAATAAACACCATCCCTTAAACTGAAGGATTATCTTGTGTTTAGTGTATTAAAGTGAATTATTATGCAAGCAAAAGCTGGTCCTTGGTCCTGTAGCTTTCAGGAAAGTTAAACAAGGAAGGGCACTATAAACATTTCTGGTGGCCTGCCTAATACCCTGTGAGAGCATGGAACATGAAATGGGCCAATTATACGTGACCTGCTGGAGTTTGGAGTGTGACTGTTGGGCAAGAATGACACTGGGAATGCAGTTGGTGTCAAAGATGGCTGATGTGACATTAACTGGTAGCATCGGGTTTCCTTGTTCCGCGCGGCTTCTGCTGAGTGATGTGACTAACTGGTAACGTCTGGTTTCCTTTATCCCGCTCAGCTTCTGCTGAGTGATGTGACATTAACTGGTAACGTCGGGTTTCCTTATTCCGCGCGGCTTCTGCTGAGTGATGTGACATTAACTGGTAACGTCGGGTTTCCTTATTCCGCGCGGCTTCTGCTGAGTGATGTGACTAACTGGTAACGTCTGGTTTCCTTTATCCCGCTCAGCTTCTGCTGAGTGATGTGACATTAACTGGTAACGCTGGGTTTCCTCATTCTGCGCAGTTTCTGCTGGGTGATGCCTTATGGGCATTCAAACTAAGTAATGAGGATACGGTGGCAGTTGCAGTTAACTACTTATTTGGAAAGATATGCTTGTAAACATCAGGACACAAAGTCGAGTCCCAGGAAAGCGCCCTTTAAGTGATGCTGTTGCCACTCCCAGTGAACGCTTCCCTATTAATACAGGTGGCTACGGTACTGGATGCTTCAAGCTAATGTATTTATAAGCTGTATCGATCCTCCTTCCCGTGTGCTTCCTGCCTGGTTTCACTAGAGTTCTGGTGTTTCTCGTTGTTCTCGTACCTCTTCAATGACCTGCTCCTTCCCCATGTTGCCCCAGACTTTGAGGCAGACTTTCTGCTTCCTTCTGTGCCTGTTGACTTATAAACTGACCTGTTGGTGCTTGTTTGTATGCTTGCAGGTATGATAAGGAGGGCCATGCTCTGGATGGGACATCTGTGACGGAAATGAGGCCGGGCGCTGGGGGCGGGGGTGCCAGCACTAACTGGAAGACCCTGTGCGACATCAAGACGGAGCACCTAGGCCATGGCGAGAAGGTGAGGAGCGTGTCCGCGCTGCATCTCTGTGCCCCCTGATTGGGGGAGAGGGTGGAACTGGCTCCCCGGAGCGAAGGGGCATGGGGTAAACAGTCGGAGGATTAGCTGAGAATTGGCCTTTTAATGATCACTGCGCTTTAATGCCTTGTATTGACTTTGTACGTGTTTCTGCCGTTTCTGTTATCCTCTTATGTGTTTCCTGGGTAGGCGTCAGGGAAGCGTTTGAATAAGTAAAGTACGATGTGGTATTATCCTGTGCTGGCAGACGTCCAGCCTCTGCCTCAACCCCCCTCTCCTGTGCTGATTAACCACATGCGCTTGGGTTTTAACTGAAACTGCCCGGCCTTATTGCAGCCAGGGTTGGGGGCCAGAGAAATGCTCAAGCCTGGCTTATCTTCTATAAGGCTTATTCCCCTGTTCTCTCTGTTTCTGCCCTAGTGCTTGTGTCTCTGCGTGGGTTTTTAGAAGGGCCCAATAAGCAATTAATATCTGATACTGACGGATGTAATGGCAATTTATAACTCAACCGAAGACACTTGCAAAATTTTAGATATGAAACAAGCCACCTTAAGTATCTTTAAGACAAATAAATGTAAACTGTAATCTACATAGACACAACTCAAGTCTAGACTGAACCATGACACTTATGAATAGTCTCAGACTATGGCAGGTGCATTATAATGCAGGAAGCATAGCCTCGGCACTTTCTCTGGTCATTGAGCTTCCTTTTCTCATCATATGTTTAAAGACGTATTATCAACCTTCTATCGGCAGGTTTTCCGCCAACGCCGATAGATATCTGGGACGTTAATATTGTGTGATTTTTAGTGGCCTGCCAATGTAGCAGTCGGTCCCCAGCATTCAGCGTGAGGCAAGCTTGCCGATTTGCAGAGGAGATTAGAGGTGCTCATTCATTGAGCTTAGTAATTAAATGATGACAGTCTGATAAGTGACTCTCCGCGTTCTTGGCCTCGATGTACCGCCTGTCAGTAGCTTGGTGCTTTAAGGAAATCCAACATGAGCGAGTGGAGCATATAGGAAGATTAATGCACGGCTGCCTTCGGCTACATTACCAGCAGCGGCTCCAGGTGATTCTGTTATTTTATGTGATTTTTATTATGCATGTTAATGGAATCCCCCCCCCCCTTTCTTTTTATTATACGGCTTTGTTGGAGTGGTGTGAAAGATGAACGGCCCTGGGGGTGTGGGCAGGTCAGATATATTCTGTGTGTGTGTGTATATATGCGTAACACTGTTATTACTTTTTTTGATTACTTCCTTTGTTTATCCAAATAATCCTATCCTGCAAGCATGTTTTCACTGACGTAGTTAAATGGTGCTATGATGTTGGATGTTACAGGAACTGCGATAAATGTAAATGCAGATCCCACTTTTCTCATTGCATGAAGTAAACTTTTTTTTAACAGAGAACTGAGATTTTGTGTTTCTAGTGGTGTGTTCTTTATGCTATAGCAATTTTTCCAAAATTACAAAAATGTTGCAGTATCTTGAATTGTAGCTCCTGTATTATGATGCATATCATATCGCCAGATACTTGCCAGTACACGGCCCAAGCGCAGGAGGGCTGGCAGAGCAGTGGGCCTGTGCAGGCTCTGCGTCACGCACAGACAGCTTTCCCCACTCTGTGGGTTTGCTCCATTGTCCTGCTTAACATTTGCATTCTTGTTCTACCTCATGTCACTTTTCCGCTCCGTTCCTTTGTGGAGTAGAAGTCGTTCATCTGACAGTCACGCTGCCTTTTTGGGGTGTGTCATTCCTTCAGTGCAACAGATCTTGTGATGGCAAGCGGAGCACTTTGCCTGTGAGTAGCTATTGATTTTTAAAAGTGGCCTACTCAGAAATCTGGGCTGGGGAGCTAGCAAGAGCCCTCCAGAAGAAGCAGTCATTTTAGGGCTGGATTAGTGTCGACAGTTGCCTTTGATTGCAGCCAATGACTTATTTATTCCACACAGGCAATTATGCAAAACAAGAGGTTGAGTCTTCATGTCTGTCAGCAACGGTGGAGCAGATGCTCCATGTGATGTTTCCACCCAGCAGCTCAGCGTCTGTGAGAGATGGCGCTTTTCACTGGCGTGGTGCCGAAGACTTTCCGCGGCTTATTGTATGCTTGTTAGGGGAGAAATCATTTCAAGGGGGGCGATGTGTGGCTATTGGCACCTCGAGGTCGTGAATGAGGGCCGCCGCTCTGTGCTGTCTGCGCTTTGGAGGCCAAACGGAAGAGCTGAATGGTTGCTTCTCATGGCAGTGTTTCCTGAACACAGCTCTGCAACTAAATGCCAGAGCTGCAGGAAAAACAGGGATGAGTGGAGCTTTTATTTAATGGCGGTTAATTAAAGCTTCTGATGTTTGGAGTCTGTAAAGCGTAAAGGGCCTCGCTTTAATGGGGAGACTCTGACAGCGCAGTATGAAAGCACTGCTTGCTAACAGTTTCCTTTTGTCAGAAATATCACCCTGCTGTAGAGTGGGGAGTTTGTTTAAAATACTTAAATATTCTGTAAAATATGACCTGTTCCGTTTTGCAGTTTTAGTTCCATGAGCCTGAGGTTAAGACTTTGCTGAAGGCCTCTTATCTGTAAGGTGCATTTAAGCCTGTGCTTCCTGAATTCTTCAGGAAATAAGCCGGTCTGGCTTCCCAGCCTCCACTTGATGAAGACCTCATTAAATGCACTTGTTAATCCTCCTTTGTGGCTCTTCTGTGGAGCTGCTATTCCTAATGCACCCTGTCAGGTTTGCTGGCATCCTAAAATTGGTTATATTTGGCACTATCCATGGCATCAGAAATGTTTGTCATGGATGTTTGTCTGGGAGTTGAACCTGCTGCCCCCCATCCACCCACCACCACCAGTTGGGTAGGATTGCTGTAGTATTAATTCTGAGCCATCGTCGATGCATCCACTGCACCACGGGAAAATTTGGAGTCTTTATCAGTCTTGTTGGTGTAATCTGCTTCACTTTAGATGAAATAAGGAGAGTGTGTACGCACGCACTCTCACTCACTCTCTCACACACACACACACACACACACACTCTCTCACTTCAGGTGTGTTCGCTTCTCTATCTGGTAAACGGCTGTCTAGGGGACTTCTCTATTTTTAAAGATGTAAAATCTCAATGTTTCAGTGCTCTTGAAAGTGTTTTGGTGGCAGTCTCAGATTGCACTGTGGTGTTCATGTGCAAATGAAAATTTGTCACACTGCCTGCATGTGTTGAGCAGCGTGTCCCCTCTGACACCCCCTCCCCCCCTGTTTTATGCAGGCTGATTACTTCAGCTGTGTCGCCACCATAGTGTACCTGCGCAAGGAGAACTGTCTCTACCAGGCCTGCTCATCCCAGGACTGCAACAAGAAGGTGGTGGACCAGCACAACGGCATGTACCGCTGTGAGAAGTGCGACAAGGAGTTTCCTGACTTCAAGTATCGCCTAATCCTCTCGGTGAGCTGCTTCACCAGCTGCTCTGTGACCAGCAACCCCCCCCCCCCCCCCCCCCCCCCCGCTAGCTGCTGACTTGTCCTCCCAGCTTCTCTGAGACAGCCTATCGTCTCTCTTCTCTTCTCTAAATCGGTTCATCACGCCTGTTTTGTGTTCTGGTTCCTACTTGTTCTCTTCTTACCTTAAGCACCAATCGGCTTTGCTTTCCCCTCTCCATGCGGTACCTGTGATGAGCTAATGGCCGTGTTTGCCTTTAGCTCTGCACAACTTGGAAATTTGCAATAAAGAAAACACAGGCAAACGAGGGTGCTGTTCTCCATGTCTGCAACTAGTTTGTTTGTTTGTTTTTATTATTAATACCCACTTTTAAATATTAAAACTCATTTAATGAGTGATATGTCTCTCTGCCAGGCGGTGGATGAAAACCTGCTGTTTGGTCCTCTCTCCAGGCTGTGTGCGGTTTTCGAGCACGCCAAGCTGTCAGCTCATCACCGTGGCAGCGGGTTTTACATTTCCTGGCTCTGTGTGCGCCTTTTAGGCACCGTAGTGCAGTCTCTCCGCATTTACATGTTCCGTTCCTCCCCGCATGAAATTAAACGCAATTAGAAGCCCCATTTCTAGATGTTTAGCATGGGTTGCTTGTTCAGCGTTGGTGATGGCTTCATGGTCACCGACCACATTCGCGTTTCCTTGTGTTTGATTGGGCAGCACATTTGGAGTCGGCCTTTATGATGTGAGCGAGGAGTGATCCCTCATGCTGATCTCTTCCCTCCTTGTGCACCGCCTTGACCACTCCCTCCATCTCCCGCTCTCTTACGCTGCTCTCTCGTCTCTCTCCTCCTTGTCTCCCGTTCTCTCAGGCCAACATTGCAGACTTTGGGGATAACCAGTGGGTGACATGCTTCCAGGAGAGTGCAGAAGCCATCCTGGGGCAGAACGCCGCCTACCTGGGCCAGCTCAAGGACTCGGTAAGGCTTCTCTTCCTGCCCTGTAGACGAGCGAAGCTGCTTTTGCATTCCAGCTAATGCCATGTCAGCTTTTAATTACATTTGTGCAGCCCCTTTGCGGTTATATGGTGCTGGTGATGCCTGAATCATGGCATTCCTGCCTTCTGCTCTTGACATTATTAATATGTAACCAAATGCCACCTTTCTTCCCAGAATGAGAGTGCCTTTGAAGAGGTCTTTCAACAGGCGAACTTCAAAACCTACATCTTTCGTAACAGAGTGAAGCTGGAGACCTACAACGTACGTATGGTGAAGCGTAAACAGGCTGTCGTTGGCTCACATCAGTGTTTCTGTGGTTTGTTGTTTTTCTTTATAAGAAAGGTCAGTGATTGTGGTGGGTTTTCAGTGTAAATTTCCGCCCAGCTAGACGTACGCTTTAGGCGCTGCTCTGTCTCCATCGCTCAGTGCACCCCCCATATCTCGTGCTCAGTGGCTATCACATGCAGTTTCACCTTCTCCATCTGACTGGGCATGAATTGCCGCTCTGCTTGTAAATTTCCGTGCTAAACTTCCTGCTTGTTTCTGGCCCAGTGCCTGCATTCATCCATTTGTAGGTTTGCGAATGACTGGTCTTGGAGCGGCGGCTCACGCAGAACCATGTGATGGAGGGCGGACGGGAACGGGGACCGTGTTAGGGGCTTGGGGGACAGGCATGGCTTTACACCTCTGCTCGTTTGGCTTCAACAGAAGATTATGTAACCTGACTGGAAAAACATCATATCCACCAGGACCTGTGGACTCAGTATATGGTCCAGACTACCTGGGTGGAGAGCGATTAATGCTATGACTGTGGCCAGATGAAGGGCTTGTCCCCTGATTGGAGCCCCCTCCAGGGCATCTGTCCCCCCAGTCTCACTGAGGCTCATTGCTGGTGTGCTTCTCACATGTGAGCAGCCCTTCGTGAGCATGATGCACGTCTAAATGCATCTCTGCACTTTAGTGTGTCTCATCTCCCTTTCGGTGTTTTTCTGTTTCACGCCCATTGATGTACTTGTAAACACATCTGAATGGGTCATCAGTTAAGAGCCAGCGTAAGCAAGTCGTTATAACTGCTGTTAAAATCATGGCTCGGAAACTCGCTGGCCGACGTGTGCAGGGTGGATGTGTTGCGGGTAACGGGTAAGTGTGCGGGGTGGATGTGTTGCGGGTAACGGGTAAGTGTGCGGGGTGGATGTGTTGCGGGTAACGGGTAAGTGTGCGGGGTCGATGTGTTGCGGGTAACGGGTAAGTGTGCCCCCACTGCCCTTGTTACTCGAAGGACGGCTGTGGCTCTGTGGGACTCTAATCACAGGTGGCATTGAGTCCCGTCCACTTAAACAGCGTGTCTGTGATGCTGAGTGACCCGTTGTTGGGCACTGTCCCCAAAGCCTCTAGCCTGATTTTGTCTGGTGTTTGGATTCGTCGTGGTATTTGACGATCCTTGTTGGGGGTGGAGGGGCTATCCCTGCATTTTAACACCATTTGGTCCTTAAATGGTGCTTGTAAGAGCAAAAAAAAATGACAAGAAAATGAATCGTGAAATTCTGGCTTCATAGCTGTTATGTTGATGTACAGAATAATTCAATGTGTGAGATTTCTAATTAAGTCAGCCTCCTTGTGGGGAAACGGTAAAACTGACACAGACTGTAGTACATTAAACTCCAGATTCTGCAGCAATATTTCCACCACCTGAAGAACTGGCCTTAGTCACGCTGGTGTACTTGCTGAAGACTGTAAAGTTGGACTTTGCCTGCAGGAAGCAGGTCTAGACTGAATTGTGGAGGCGTGAGACTCATGTGGAGCCCACTGAATGCCCCTCACCCCCCCACTACCCACCCCCCAACCCCATCCACTTTCCATTTAATGTGTCCTATTGACCAGCGTGCTGGCGAGTTTCTGATGTATGACCACGAAATACCAAGTAACCGTTGAGGGATAAAGGCCGCTGGGCACTTAGACTCTGCCGGGTTGCTGTGCTCTCTGCCTCCCTCTGTTGGCATGCCTCAGATTCCATTTTCCAAAGCATGCCGTTCCCATCGCTAATTTTTAGTTCTTGGTTCTGTGTTGCCTGTCTTATTTTCTTCTCATGCCTTTTTATGCGAACTCTCTTGCGACGTGAGCCCTACCCCCTTTACTGAAATGTGGTTTCTGAGCTGCTCTGAATAGTCTGCATTCGTCCTCGCATGGTTTGAATCTTTTTTTTTTTTTTTTTTTTT